ACCTCTCCAGCCCTTCTTTTGAATCCGCACCAAGCATCTTTCTGGTTCTTTCTTTACAAACAAGCCTTGTGTCGGCCACCCCTACTTGGAACCAGAGAGTCAGACCCCTCTGCTTGCTCCGTTAGAGCCCTGCAGTTCTGAGACTGTTTCCCCAGAAACCTCCACCAGAGCCTATGAGACACGACAGTCAGTTCATCTAAGTGGAATCCAGAACCGCGAAGAATCTGGGGATGGAGAAGTCTTTGTCTACGGAAACACAGGGCTCGTCAGATACTTGAGCTTTGCGTCTTCCCCCAGCCGGCATTCCACACCATGAACTCTTCCCCTTCCTCTTCCATCATTCCAGAAGGGCCAGGGATGTGGACATTTGGGGTGGTCATCATCTGATGCCCCGTCACTACACAGATGAGGACCTCCAGAATGGGGGTCATTAACTGGACGTAGGACTTGGGGACCATTCTCTGAAGGTAGCACTTACATTTCAGCAGGACACAGGACCCCGGAAGGTTAGGTGCCACAGCGGAGACCACCCCCTGGGGCTTGTAAGCAAGACCTCATCTTCACTTTGTGAACTTGCAGGGGAGTCGCCTCCATTGCAGACAGCTCTTGGCCAGAGTCCGGCTCCTTCTGGCTGAAGGTGACCCCTTTTGGCTTCCGGAGGATCTTGAACTGGCTGAAGGAGGAATACAACAACCCTCTAATTTATGTCACAGAGAATGGAGTCTCCAGACGGGGGGACCCAGAACTCAACGACACCGACAGGGTCTATTACCTCCGCAGTTACATCAATGAAGCCCTCAAAGGTGAGAGCGCCCGCCTCCACCCTGCCGGGCCCAGGAGCGCCCTTTCCTGCTGGAGCACCCGGGTCTGTAGGAGGGCAGTCTGGCACCCTCAGGACAGTCATGAGAAGGCCCTTTGCTCGAAGGAGCTGGAGCATTTGTTGGAGGCTAGAACCTGAGGTTTTTTTTCCTTCCTGGACTTGGCCACCCCCAGCAGATAGAAGCCACTGCCTGAGCTGGCTGACCTTAGCTCCGACCTGGGTCCTCTGCAGCCTGTGGTCTTTCTTGCTCTTGGGCCTCTCTGCACAGCCAAGGGTTGTCTGGTGCCTGCCTCCAGGGCCTTTTGTTTCCAAGGCCAAAGGACCGGGAAAGTAGCAGTTGGTGAAGTGCTTGGTGTACAACCCTGAGAGCCGAGTGCAATCCCAGCCACCGTGTGCAAAGCTAGGCATGGTGGTGGGTGCGAGAGAATGGAGGATCCTTGGGGCTCTGGTTGCCCAGCCTGGCCTACTTGTCTCAAAGAACAAGGTGGACAGC